GTCCCTCTGGGGCTTTGCCTCGGGCTGGTCACCACCCTGAAGGCGAGCAGAGCTTTGCCCGGCTCCTCTGGATGGAAACAACTCCGTGGGCAGTTGCCGCTGCTGTTGAGGAGAGGCTTTGCAGCCTTCCCCGTGAGAGAGTCCTCTGGCAGACGGAACTTCAGAGCTGGGGGCCAGATCCCTACCCTAGCCCGTTGGTCTGGGGATCCCTGTAACTGCTGGCGGCATCTCCCTCAACTTTTCCTGGTCCTCACATTAAGACAGAGCCGTTTGTTTTTATGGTGCCACAATGCCTTTGTCGTCTTTTTAAAAAATTTCTCTTTGGGTTTTTGCCCAATATTCCTGGTCCCCGTGGTGGAATTACGGGGCCCAGTGTGTCCACGTCCGCATCACTTGACGGGTTCCCTCCGCTCGGATGCTCTTTCTCCTAAGCGCCTTCGGACAAAGATGTGCCACGGGGGTGTGTGTGTGTGGCGCGGCTGTGTTGGCTGCCTCCTGGAGCTTGCAGGCCACGCCTCGTCTTGCCCGGCTCTTCTGCAGGCCGCTCCCTTTCAGCGGAACCTCCTGCCGTGGAGGCATCGATCCGCTCGGTTTCTTCCTGGCTGCGCAAACCTGTTGGCTGGCGGCCCGCTTTCCTTTGCCTTTTCAGGCGCCTTGGAGACAGACCACACGAGCCTCAAGTCACAGGAGGGCTGGCCAGGTGCCTGAAATGTCGTCCTGCGCCGGGCGCAGAGTCGTATCCGGGCGGATGCTGCTGCGCCTTTGCTCTGCCAGTCCCGTTAGCCGTTCGCTCTCAGGCTGACTTGGGCGATCGGGAGCTTCCTTTGGCCACGGGGGTAACCGCTCGGACCACCTTGGCTGGCATAGGCTCCTCTGACCGGCCATGGCTGCCCGAGGATTTTGGGCAGGAGCTTTTCCAAATGGCAGGGGCTAAGCTTTGAGACCCCTCCCATGTCTCCAGCTAACCGGTGCGGTGGCTCTCAGGCACCAGTTTCTCCATATCAGATTATTGGCGCTCTCAAAGGATCCCGGGGTCCGGGACATTGAGTTCCAGGAAGAGCATCCGCCACAGCCGGGGCCGACTCCCTCTCTTCCGCTTTGAATTGGGAGGGAGGGCTTCTAATTCTATTCTTTTTGATATTGTAAGCCGCCTTGGGTCGCCTTTATTGGGAGAAAGGTGGCCTGTGAATAAAACAAACAAGGCAATAAGTATTACAGTATAGGTAATAGAGCTGGGGAGATTGCTCAGTGAGCCAGATGTTTGATTCCCTGAGTGTCTCTGGGGATTAAAAAGATTCTAAGCACCTCTGGAAGAAATGGCTGCGAAACCACATACTTAAGAAGAGTTGCCATAAGTTGGAATTTACTCG